TAAATAGTCGTTACTCACGTATCAATAATGTAATTGTTATAAATAAAGCCTACGCTTGAGAGCGCATCTGTTCCTCGCGTTTTAACATAGAATAACGTTTTCCCTACTTTTTATACGCTGCGTTTACCAAGTACTTACATTTTTAGCTCGCCAAATAGTGTGTAAAACTTATAGAGTAAGCCAGGTCATTGACACCATTCCAACGTATGGCGTCCGCATTGAATTTTACTTTATCTCCGCACCTTAAGATTGAATTTCAAATGCACAATGTGTGATACAATATTTGTATGGGAATGTAGAAAATATAGTAAAATTAATATAGGTTCGCTGTATGAGGTCTCTTTTACATTTTTTTATAATAGGTTTTGATAAATGTATGTAATATAATAAATAATGCGTGTAGTTGAACGTAGTTGAAAGAATTTAACAAAATTATGAAGGCGGTAGGTCGGTAAGGTTAATTTTAAGCGGTTTCCCTACTGAACCTTTGATCTGCGATCATTTGGTAACCATACATCTTATTGCAAATCTTCTCATGTTGAGAATAGTGTAGAAAATAATGTCATATCTGTTTCATGACAAGAATTCCATTACTTCTGGTCTGCCTTGAGTATTATAATAAGTATGCTGATTATATAGAATTAATTCTGAATGGACAACTGTTTCTGCAATTATATTGCTCATTTGATTATTATTATGATTTTGCTTAGAGAAATCATTGAGCCTTGTATAATCATGGACTGGCACTGGCAGATAATAAGGCTTAGGTTAAATTATTATAAAGATTTGAGTTATAATATATGTTTATATTATCTGTGACAAGCTGGCCACTTTCAAGAGTGGAAAGCTTTTTATGTTCATCATTCATATGGACCGTGCTTCTGACTAGCTTGTTTTTTTTATAGCATAAGCCTGTATTCGAGCAGACGCATCACCTGATGGTAAGCAATCGGCGCCGCCCATGGACACTCGAAACACCAAGGCGTTACAAGTGCGTTACCGGCCTTTTGGGAATTGGGAATTTGAGAATTGTGGAGGATTCGGGGATTCGGGAGACGGGGACCAGGGAGGGGGGTAATTGGGCCTCCGGTAACCTCACTCACACGACGTAACACAACGAAAGCGTTGTTTCACGTCGGTTTTCTGGGAGGCCGTGGTATCACTCCGGTCGAGCCGGCCCATTCGTGCTGAAGCATGGCTCCCACACTTAAAGTCACGTGTAAAATTATTTCTGTATATTTCATTGAAATACCTACTCTGTGACACCTACAAGGCTTGTACTAACAAGTAGTCGCATTTGTTTAGTTCAATCATAAACAGTTACAAACTGTTTCCCCAAAATTAATATCCATTTAAAAAATACTAATATTCGATTACCTTTAAAACCGCTTAAGACTACTATTATTATAATATTCGTAGATAAAACACAAATACCACACACTTACTACCTCGTTGGGCCAGTGGTCGCAAGTGCGACTGCCGGGCAAGGTCTCGGGTTCAATTCCCGGGTCGGGCAAAGTATTACTGGGTTTTAAAAAAAATCTCAGTAGTAGCACAGCGTCTGGAATTGTGTCCGGTATATGGCAATAGGCTCACCCCATATTACATGGGACTCATAACATAAATAGTGAAAAGTGGGTGTTGCATTGTACAGTGGCATAATGTGCACCTCTGCCTACCCCTTCGGGGATAAAAGGCGTGATGGTATGTTTCAACACACTTAATAAAATGCAATATATTTATTGTGAAGGTGCAAAGATCACAAATGCACATAATTATTGGGTAGTGGCATACTGCCAACTGCACGCAAGGACGAATGCAACTTAATTTCCATGAAGTCTTGCAAAACTTGTGATGTCATCTCCATTTTGATTATATGCAGTAAATGCCGCATTTAATAAAAACAATATAAGTATCACAATTCCATTACATAGAATGAACTATAAATATAATCACTACATAGTATAAAACAAAGGCGCTATCAGCCGTCAGTCTGTCCCCATGTATGCTTAGATCGACTTAATCGTCAACTGGCGAGCGCGAATCTCGCGAGCGCGCGCGAGTTGGCACTTTTCGATTTTGCCTACTTTTTTTGTCGTCAACTCGCGCGTCTATATAATTTGATGTTTTAATATATAGTCAGCTACAAAAACGTTATAACAAATTTAATTTAGTTAGGTACTTACCTACTATAAATGTATAAGAAACTTTATGAAATTTGATTTTTAAAATAAAACAAAATATACATCGTTTTGAAATCAGTTTATTATAAATCAACAGGACAAAATATAAATTATTAGTAGTATTTCCCTTACTAATTATCAACAATATCACATTGATTTGAGAATTTGGCTTATTATCTTATTATCTAGTATGTAAATTGTAAAAAACTAAGTAAATAAAATAGAAACAACGAAAACACTCCCCTCACATACTCGTATACAAAATTATATGTGAGGAGATTTTCGATAAATCTCATAATATAAATAATTTAAACCGTACTGAAAATTGGTAAGTATAAAATAGTAAAGCTAAACATAGTAATTGACAACAAACTGACTTATTATTGCTCACTAATAAAATCAATCTTAGGAACCATAGAAAGAGTCTTAGAAACTATAAAATCACAGATCAGATATGGTTGTAAATGATTTTTACAAAAAACGCTAAACACTATCAATAAGTAGATTCATCAATTGGCTAAGTTATTACTGACGACCTACAAATAAAACTAATCACAGACTATAAAATCACAGATCATGGTTTGTTATAAATGATTTTTATAGCAAACGTTAAAATAAACAGACTATGCTAAATTAAATCAAAAATCACAAGATCAAAAGTTCGATACATAAGTCACAACCATATCTGATCTGTGATTTTATAGTTTCTAAGACTCTTTCTATGGTTCCTAAGATTGATTTTATTAGTGAGCAATAATAAGTCAGTTTGTTGTCAATTACTATGTTTAGCTTTACTATTTTATACTTACCAATTTTCAGTACGGTTTAAATTATTTATATTAGGAGATTTATCGAAAATCTCCTCACATATAATTTTGTATACGAGTATGTGAGGGGAGTGTTTTCGTTGTTTCTATTTTATTTACTTAGTTTTTTACAATTTACATACTAGATAATAAGAAAATAAGCCAAATTCTCAAATCAATGTGATATTGTTGATAATTAGTAAGGGAAATACTACTAATAATTTATATTTTGTCCTGTTGATTTATAATAAACTGATTTTAAAACGATGTATATTTTGTTTTATTTTAAAAATCAAATTTCATAAAGTTTCTTATACATTTATAGTAGGTAAGTACCTAACTAAATTAAATTTGTTATAACGTTTTTGTAGCTGACTATACATTAAAACATCAAATTATATAGACGCGCGAGTTGACGACAAAAAAAGTAGGCAAAATCGAAAAGTGCCAACTCGCGCGCGCTCGCGAGATTCGCGCTCGCCAGTTGACGATTAAGTCCTTAGATCTATAAAACTACGCAAAGGATTTTAGTGCGGTTTTTTTTTAAAGATAGATTGATTCAGGAAAGTGTATACTTATATATAATACTTGCATATTGCACTCGTGCGAAGCCGGGACGGGTCGCTAGTGAAATATAAAAAACAGATATAATGTAGCATGAATCTACTGCCGAATAAAAACGTACAATTATTATTATGCGTCTACATTTGTACGTATATATTAATGTACTATATTAACTGTTTAGTTGAATCCTATTAAAACGTTGCATAGAACACTCACCAGGTATATGGTATATTAACGATATTCGATAAGCAAAAAGTATCTTGACACGAAGGGTTTATGCTGTTTATTTATGAAGTAACGTGCTGCAGAAAACATAAGCCCGAATACCGAAAGACTACTCAATTGTGCCTTCTCTGTCATTTTACAAAGAATTTGTAGTGACTAGTGACTGAGTGTATGTAGTGACTATACTTAAGCGCGACTTAAAATTGAGTGTCGTTTGAGTGTTTGGACAATAGTCCAGCAGTGGATGGACACGGTAGATGATGATGATGATGTCTTTGTACATTTTATCCAAAACCTATATAAAGTCAAAGTCAAAGCATTTATTTCAATTAAACCATAATTTGGTACTTTTGAAACGACAACAAATACAAAATAAATAATAGTCTGTTAGTCAGACCATCAGTAAAGCTAGGTGAAGCTTGGTGCGCATTCCAAAATGTAGATTCAATTGGAGAAGAACAAGCAAGTAACGTTCGTTACTCTTTTTTAAAAAAGTATGTTCTACAATGTTTCTGATATATATTACAATATTGTACGCATTTTTGAGAACAATGCAAAGACACGCTTGACGCATTATTCAAATTACAAAACTTAATAGTATAAGATTCGAACACACAAGATTCTAGTGATAGAGTAGTAATTTATATAGAAACTTTTACAATTACAACAAACTTCAACAAAATTTATTAAAGAGGAGGCATCTCCTCTGGCACGCATTAATCACATTTGTCACTATCCATTACCAGATAACTATAAAGCAACCGAGTTAATAATTCCTAGTATCAACAGGTAAATTACTGTTGTACACAAAATCCAGTTAATTTAACTAGAGGCCTTCGGTCCGATACACACGGGCGGGTGCGCAAACGCCGAGCCACTCGCACGATCGCTAATCACCCGTTTATAACATTTTCCGTTAGTGTGAACTGCGCCTATGATTGGGTCGTTATTTTATGAATAGAGATTCCTTCGAAGAGAGTTTTATTGTCAATGTAAATTAAATTTATAGCAAATTTTCTAAGTTTATGTATTTATTGCCTTGGGAAGCTTGGAATCTTTTAATGATGTCTTTAAAGTCATTACGGTCCTTCGTTAGATCAGAAAAAGCTTTCTGTAATAAATGGCATGTCCCTGAGCGTCATCTTTCATCATTCGTCACTGCATTATCAAATTTGCCTCTTGTTACTTTAAAATATTCACAAAACATTCTCTTTTTTTTCAGTCCTATCAGCAGTATCCCCAACTCGCACCACAAACGGCGGCAGTGCGCATGCGTCGCCTGCGCGGGAATTGTCCCGCGACACTCCCGACTACCAATATGGCCGGTTTGACGCAAGCGCACTCCACATTGCACATGCGCTCAAACAGACAGAACTGCAGAAAGCGTATCATAGACCCAGGGAGAAGCCCATCGATTGTTACTTGGTAAGTAATTAGAAAATTAAGTCGTTAAGTCGTTAAATATAATCTGAAACTAGATTTCAGGGAAAATATGACACTCCTAACGTGAACCTATTTTACACCATAATTTAAAAAAGGTTATAATTTGAACCCTACACACTGTAGCATTAGGTCCCAAATACATAACACTTTCCTTACCAACAATTTAGATTAATTTCAATCAAACATTATTTTTAAGAGAAAACAAAAATGACAGAGATAATACAACAAAATAAAACTTAGGTAAATGATTTGGAACTATTAGTAGGGCTTTGAGAAATGTTAGACAATTATTGAAAACCCTCTAATAAACAAAAACCCTACAATAAAACTTGAAATCACATTCGAGACCTCATTCAAGAGACTCTTTCAGTTCATTCGAGAAAAATTGAAGCAGGTAAATAATACCTTTGCCTACCATCATCAAAGCTTCCTTAAAGAGACAATTTCTTCTATAGCTTCTTATTGACAAACAGATGTCAACCACAAGGTCGCTACCACTGTTACCGCCGTACTGATATTTATACCGGCAGTAGGATTATATTATGCTAATGTTATGAATGAGCAGCTAGCTTTAAATGCTACTCCAACCACTGATTGTAATCTGCTGGCATGATGATTTCATTCGAAAGTTGTTTTATTATTTTAAAACTGAATTGTTAAATTTCCTTACACAGTTTGTTAGCGTCCCGTTTGAAAATAGTAAAATCAGTTTTTGGTCCGCAGAAGCACAAAATGACATAACGCTGTTATTCTTCTTTCAATACTTTGTAGATTTTTTCCAAAGGTACTTGGTATGTACATGAGAGTACTGGTTATGAGTTAAGGCTTGTATCATTTTCCAAACGTATTACTCTTGTATTAGAGAAACTAATGTAAAACTAACAACATCAAACGACTGCCATTCATCTCATGTTGACAGTTAAAATCGATGTAAAATTCTTAATGATTCGATTGCACACAAAATGTCGTAACTCAGGCATCGCATGACGAGATCGATCGAATTCACAACGCCACAATACTTTTATTACAAACGTAATACTCTATTGCAGCTGTTTCTTTTAAATTCACAATATTTGTGGTTTTACGAAATTGTTTTTGAACGTAATTGGATAATTGTCTCAGTGGCCAATTTGGTGTTCTTTGTAAGGGCATAAAAAGAATTTTAGTTTTTTTTTTTATGGCGTTGCATAAGACCTCGTTAGAGAATTGGCCCTTTACTTGTTTGATAGAAAACAAGTGTTCTGCAATAAAAGTAACGTAATCTCTGAGTTTTTCTTTGGGAGTTTCACTTTTAACACGTTTGTTAAAATGGGTGTACGGAATCTCATTTTAAGTTAACTAAAGATAAACTAACATTATATAATACTGACGTATAGGCTCATATGACATTGATCTAGTATCAAAATCCATTGTCAAATATAAGGAGATAGAAGAAGAAGGTATGTACTAATTGCGTCTAGTATCGAAAGACAATACCTGTGTTCTCTAAATCTTCTGTATGCTAACTACTTAACTGCTATCCCTACCAACCAAACGTGAGGATTTTGGTACCTTCTTATGAGAGGGTCTCATAAGAAGGAAGTCATATTCGACCTATAATATTTCTTAGGAAAAATGAAAAACAAAAAAACAATTCACTACTGTTATTCTCCAACTATCTTTTCACCTATCTCCAATGCAGTAAAGTAGAGTGTTGATTACTTGTTCTGCCGTTGGAAGACAATCAAGACAATCAATTACCAATGTTTCTTCGCCAATTATTATGTGTTATGGCTTATTTTCCTCGAGGGGAGGCGGTGATGTACCGACATCTGCTACATTCCTGTGCTTTGGACTAGAACGTATAGCGTGTGCACTCGGAATTTACGCTTCAGTTGTTTGGTCTAAGTTAAAGGAGATGGTCTGTTTTGATTAAGCGAATATAGTTGTTAACACATCACCAAAATAACATTATTCTATTTTGTTACCAGTTTTAGAATACATAGATTCGTAAATAATGTCTCTTACGGCCCATTTATGTAACCTCTTCATACTACAAAGCGGAACTAAATCAAATATTCGATATGACTTTCACAGTCCAAACTAAAAAATGTAAACAAAACTTTAGTTCACATAGAAGCGTACCTTGTGCTTAGTGCTAAGGAGTGAAATTCTTTGCCAGAGTCTGTATTTCCTGAATGGTATTTATTACCTAGGTATCTTCAAGGCCTGAGTGAATAGGCTGCTTATGGGAAGCCGTGCTCCATCGTAGAGCGCATCGCTTAATACCAGGCGAGTTAGTGGTCAACCGTCGGACCATCAAATATAAAAAAAAAAACGAAAAAAGGCTTTATTCGGTGGCCTGTTAACCTTGTATCAGTTATCCCACTTTTCTTTGTAATACATATTACCTATTATAGAAAAACGTGCGTGCGAGTCAATGGTGCAAGCATGACAAAATCGTTACATACATACATAAGATGTGAAACCATTTCAATGAATATGCGTTCACAATTATTCCATACACGCAACAATACGTGTATCCTTATTATTTATTGTATTTACAAATGTATTACATACCAATAAGTAGATAGTAAATATTGCTACGAAACACACGCACGATACTTCTTAACGACAAAAGTGCGTGAGCATGTGGTGTAGAAATATTGGAGGCATATTAGTGTACAAATAAAAGTTTTAACATTACAATTAAATTTCATCCCCTTAGTGTTGTTTTTGCAATAGTTATCTACTTAAGTAGTCCCATTTATCATAACATCATAACATCACGCCTTTTATCTCCGAAGGGGTAGGCAGAGGTGCATACAGAAGTAAGAATTACATAAATAGTGAAAAGTGGGTACTTTTCACTATTTATGTTATGAATCCCATGTAATAGGGGGTTGCTATTGCTATATACCGGGCACATTTCCAGACTCCGTGCTACTACTGAGGATTTTTTAAAAAACCCAGTAATACTTTGCCCGACCCGGGAATCGAACCCAAGACCCCTTGCCCGGCAGTCGCACTTGCGACCACTCGGCCAACGAGGTAGTCCCATTTACAATACAGTAATGACACATAATACCTAGTTGCTTAGAACTATTGTAGTTTTCTTTTAAAATAAAATTCTCACTATGTGTTTTTTCGCGAAGAACCACAACTATTCGTACTCTGACTATTCAACTTTGAAACGAGGAAACAAAACATATTTATTTTATTTGTTTTTATTTTCCTTCTTTAAAAAGTCTATAGTCCGCTGGCTCCTATAGCTTACACCATACCAAAGTTGCTCTCTCGAATCGGCAGCCGTCATTTAGCATCGAGAAATCTGCCGTGACTGGACGATTACATACGGACGATCATTGCAGATAATTCTATATTAGACAATGAAATTATTGTACTATGCCTCTGTAGAGCCGCTTCGTAAGTTGGAGCCAACACTGGCCATTGAACAGCGTCCAACGCTTCATTAGTTTTCAAAAGATTATGTAAGATTGTGTGCAATGGGGCAATGTATGTTGTTCATAGTTGGTCAATGAGACTAAATCTTTCTCCAATGGGGGCAGACAGAGACTATGAAACGCCAATTGCTACGATTCCTACATAACTCTTTCGCTTCATCAACAGTCGTCAATATTTTCATGCATGACACTAAATAGTTGATTATAATAAGTAGTTGAATATTGTAGTTTCAGTAGTGCTTATAATCTTGACAAGTTACAGGCTTTCAGAAATGTCTGCCTAATATTGTCTAGATCTTACCTATAACCAAGAAACGCTATACAACTTAGCCCAATCGGAAGACTATAATCGCGTAATCTGTACGTCGATACGTACAATTTAAATTGCAGTTAATTGATAAGACATTTACATCCCGCCGAATTACTTAAGATAATATTCATAAAACTCTAAATAAACGTTATAAAATCAAGATAATATTGGCGAGAACATCGATCCGAATTTATGAGAAACAAATTAATAAAGAAACCAGTTTTTTACATAATCTTCATAATTTCTGCGCTGGACATGTAACATCGCTCCCACACGCCTTTCTACCGTCGAGGAGTGACTCAGAGATTGACATTTCTATCAAGCCACGCCTTAAAAGCTAAAGATTGCTTTGTATTCTATACTAGGCCTTGCCCACGGCTTCCTTCGAGATAATGTAGATTTTAATCGGATCTGTATCACTCTTAAACTCCATCGAATTAAGTTTTAATTCGGCAAAAAGATTGTATAGAAATGTCTACCTACATAGACGAAAACATCACTCGGTGGTACACTTGAACTTTTTTAAACTACAATCTCGAACCGTACCAAATGTGGAAATGTGGCAAACCTTCTTGCTTAATTAACATTAACACAAAACCCCTCGTCTTGTAATCCAGCAGTAGCCTGTTACAGGGTGTTGATGTTAAAGGTGTCTTAAGCAAAAATGTACTCCTAGAATTTTAAAATACGAATGTCTGCTTTGAGCTAAAGTTATAAAATTAACTTTCATTTAATAATTATTTAATTATTACTTCGGCACTTACCAAAAAATACACTATTAATCTCCAATCACATCGATTTCTGATCAATTTCTAAAATGATGTTGATTTTCTCAAAGTTTCCCTAAAACTTTCTGTGCCTACAAGCTACACCTATAATAATGGCGATTATTTTCATAGCCCCTGCCTACACCCCTCATTTCATAAACTTTAATTACGGGATATCCTTACGAGACTCATTTGCTTTGAAAGTGAGTTGACGTGATTACCATGATTTAAGTAATATAAGGGCTACACTTTCTACTCTTATGCACAGTCTACACTGTATAATAAAACATCGTCATAATGTAACTAACATCTTATTCCATCTAATGGTAAAACAGAAATAATTAAACAAATATTCATTTTTGTATTATAACTGTCGTGACACATACTAAATAAATTATTATGTTTTCGACTTACTCACGTAATTATTTGACGAGGAACTCGACTAGTTTCAAGCCATACTAG